AACAGCCTATTTGCCATTCATCATCAAGTGCTATGAAGTCCTCATGGTCCATTGTTGCCAAGTCTTCAGGCGATGCCAAAGTAGCCTTAATTTTGCATTACACAAGTGACCATGAGCACTATTTCCATCCCTTGTGTGGAGGGGCTTAGCGCAGTTATGTGTGGCAGAGAGAGACAAGGAAGGTTTTGCATTGTCTATGTTCAAGTTACCTACTGCAGCTGTAAGGTATGATTTCAACACCAACTTTGTAAAGAGGTTTGATCATACTTACATATCTAGTAGTTATATCTTCCATATATTTGTCCATTTTAAATGATCTGATCAGGAAAATTCTGACTGAAGACAATGTTTTTTTTTATTCAACTTTGATTTACTTAAAACACAGATAAAACTGAAGCAAAAAATACAAATCATTTACCAATTAATTTGATTAAACATACATTAAATATTTATTCCTTTTGAACTATTTGTATTTGTTTACAATCTACAGAACAGCTGATTGTTTGTTTTTGTATATATGTGTATATATACACTTATTTCTCACTCACATGTATCTACTTGTTAGTTGTATTCTTAAGTTTGACCTATCTTTGTTGCATTTGTACATTGAGGGCAAGTTAAAAAACAAGTTGAATTTCTTGTATGTGTACACATACTTGGCCAATGAAGCTGATTCTGATAAAGAGCCTGTGATCAGGGCTTTTCTGCCCTCGGTTCATGTTGCCTTAAAACATGCTCACTTTATAGTGTAGAATTTGCTTTCATTGTCATTCAACTACAGTGGAGTTTAGTACTCAAAACAAGCTGAATCCTTCCTGAAGCACAGTGTTGGCACCATGCAGGCCAAAACAAAGGTTTCAGTAATAACTTGGTTGGTTTATGTGAGGTCAAATAACAGGCTGCAAACTGTGTGCTGTCTGAAGAGGCAGACAAGCTTCACTTAAGTTAATTTAATTCTATAAATGTTGGGCAGCTATACAAAAAGAACACATGATTACAGAAAGAAAAACATTGTTGTCTCACTTAGATTTCCTACTTTTGTCTGAAAAGTTATCTATCATTGCACTGCAGTATGTTTCTGTAACTTCTGGTTAGAGCTCTGCTTAAAGGTCCCAGTTTAGAGGTGGCATTAGTGAAAATTAGTCTTTCAGCTCATTTTCTTTGTATTATGGCAAACAACTTTACTGTTTTGGTTCAGTCACATCACTCTGCTGACAGCTGTTTCACGCTAAAAGACAAAAGCTTTGAGGGAAACATAGTGCACACCAAATTCTGTTTTCTGTTAACATAATGGTGAAAATAAATGTTATTAACATACACATCAGTATCAGTGTTCACTGACAAAGTATTTCACTTGTTTTCTGCCAAAATAGGTAATGTTACAGATACTACTCGGAGCGACTACAGCATTATTCAGAAGTGAGCATTTAACTCAAAAATCAAAACCATTATCCTATAAGTGTTTTATTGATTCACATCATTTTCATTCATTTTCTTTAATTTGTCACCCGTCTGTATCTTTGGTTGCCTATAAGAGCGCCAAATCAAACGATCCTTAACTTAAACTTCGCTCAAGGGAGATTTACTAGTTTTTACTGTAGCCTCCTTTCACGCTAGGAAATGCATCTTGAGTTAAGATTTTTTGTTAAACTGCTACTTTCATGCTCAACCAATTTTGCTGAAAGGTGACTTCAAAGGTTGTTTTTTTTAAGCTAAATAGAAAAGTAAGTGTTCCTATTTCTTCACACATTAGGCAACAAATGCTGAACAGAACAAAAGATATGAAATAGATCAGTCTTGAAAGAGTGGCTTGCTTTTCCTTTCTTTTCTTTTTTTCAGAGTATGTGCTGCTGGTATGACAAAGATGAAGAACTGATTTTAAGGGTCTGGCAACACACAATCCTGCCTGAATAAGCTGCCACACTAACATTTCATTATTAAAGTTTTTAATTGAGAATATGTGTCACCTTCTGTTTTATTCTCTTTATGCTGTCTCAAAGGATTCACTATCATGATCAGAATAAAATACTGGAATAAAGAGAAATCCATATCATCGTTGAGGATTGGCATTATACATTTTTAATGTCTTGCTCCAAATTCTAGCTGCTGCCCCTCTCACAGAGTCCTCCTAACTACTCCTACATTCTCATTCATATTAGATGACAGATAAGAATTTACGCAAGCACACTGGCCCCAGTGGATTTATCACTTTCTTGTAGACTGCTGTTTTAGCTAAAGAATCCAACCATACTGAGGCTGACATACTAACAGCAGTATATCAGAATGAGAAGGTATGTATGTTAACTAATTTTATTGCTATTAACTCTACCTCAGGAGGAATTTTGCTAAAAAAAATGTCCACCACCATCAACTTCTTAAAGGATAAATTAACCAGCAACACAGGCTGTACAGCAGCTTCAGCTCAGCATGCTCAAGATGTTTTCAAAGACTAACCCATTTTAGGCCTGCATTGAATAACTCCTGCAGTCCTAATCCACTTTGAAGCGCCTGTATGAGGGGGCTGGTGAATTATTAACCCAAGCACTTTTACTGATTTTTCCTCTAAAAAAGAAAAAGAACTATCCAGGCGTCTTTTATTCTATTTCTGTGCCTTTTACTAAGCAGAAAAGCAGGCAGATGGAATTAACAGAAAGTAAATATTTAGGCATGTTTGCCCTCTCTCTGACTGTTAAAGTTGGATGTGCAGAAGCAAGTTTTTTTAGCAAGTTTATTTATTGTATAGTGCGTCATGGTATCAAATGTGTTGCCCTTAAATAGGCATGGAGTGAGGCTGCGAGTGTGAATACAGCTGCGGTAAACAGCCCTAATGTCATGGAGGTAAATCCAAACAAAAACATCCGCAAGGTGAACCAATCTTAGACACAGAGGAGGACACATCACAATCACTGTTGATGAAAATAGAAGTATGTTTTGAAAGATTAGAAGGAGGTTAACATGGACTGTAATTTCAAAAATTGGTTTTGGAAGTTCAAAACTAAGATTTAAATGTCTTTAAAAAAAAACCTTATACACTATAATATCATATGACAAAAAAAACCTTTAAATTGTAAGGTATTTAACATGCTTTGCCAAGATATAAAGTCTTCTTTTTCAGCTTTGCATGCTGGGATGTCTGACACTGATTTTGAGAGACGGATCTGAAGATGAAAATGTGCTTAAAACACTGCAAACCAATTTTTTGTTCTTTTTTAGTCAGATGTCGAATCAACTAAAACAGAAGTTCTGCTCAACAAAAGAGCTACAGCCATAGAAAGGATTTTTATTGTGTCTTCTGGTAATTATTGGATAATAATTCCGATGATCTGCAGACATTACACAATCACTGAGACCGCTGAGATGGTGGGAGACCGCCTTATGTCTGCTGATTACAGATGATTGCTGTGTGATTACAAAGGGACAGTGTGAGTCCCTTCATGAAAGAGTTTTTTTTACTTTTCTCTTCATTTCATTATCCTGACATAACAAACTTTATTACGAGATAATTATCTTGTAATCATGAGAAATAAAATTTGACGTCCAGATTGTAAATTCAAAAAAATAGAAGAGGTTGCTGGTTCACTTCAAAAACACCTCACAGTGAGCGATGTCCATCCGTGATGATGTGTACAAACCTGCTCTATGTGTACTTGGGTACATGTACCTTATTTAGCCACAATAAGGACATGGCTTTAGGGATGGCAACATCAATTAGTTCCTCAGTCCACCACTTTGGTCCAGACTGAAATATCTCAATGGCGATTGGTTGGATTGCCATGACATTTTTCACAGATATTTAAGGTCACCAAAGGACAAGTCCCAGTGACACTGGTGATCCTTTTCATTTGTTCTTGCAGCACCATGAGTTTTACATTTTTGTTTCCTAGTGAGATGTCGCAACAGTTATTAGGATTACCATGACATTTGGTACCAATAGTAATGGTCCTCTAAAGATATATTGTAATGACTGTGGTGATCTCACTGGCATTTCTTCTATTGCTATCACCAGGTCGGTCAATATTTTGCTTAGGTCTCCATGGTAGAGCTTTTTAAGCATGTCAAGGTGTCCTGTTTTAGCAAGAATTGCTACATATAAATGCAGTCTATTTACTTTGTGTTCTTTGCTAATAATACAATGTTAGCCTGCTAACATACTAAAGATTGTGACCATGGTAATGGTGGACCGTTATCTGCTAAATATCAGCATGTCATTGTTCATTTTTTCAACGCAAATTTTGATGAGAAATATTAGAATATCACTGATATCCTTTTTTTCCACTGCAAAACAAAAACTAAATACAATGTTGCTATTGAAAATGATAAATAATAGCCTAATAACACGTTAAAACTAAACAATAATGTGAAGTACAGCCAAAGGATATATTAACCGTTCCTGTTTTAATGCAAAGTCGTATTCATCAACCTGCATCTGTGGAATCACACACTGTAGCCTAAAGCTTCTGATTAGTAAAAGTATCTTTTGCAACCTAAAAACATATATATATTTTCAGAAGTTTACTTAGCCACTTAATTTGTTAGAAGAAGCATCTTGCAACTGAAGTTACTGGTTCTCAGAAGAAATAGATTTATGGACTAAATTCATCCACAGTCCTCTGAGAGTTAGACAGAAAGTAGCAACAAAACATTTATAATCAGTGTTGGGAAGTATTAAGTACGTTTAATTAAAGTAGTAGTTTAACTACATTGTGCAGTAGCATGCTAGTAGTTAAACTACATTCATATTTGCGTGATTCAAGTAGTTCAATTACGTTTTGTGTAGTTTCCTGAAACTACAAAACGTCTCTAAACTGGATTGTCAGCTCACCTGTGAAAAAAGTGTATTACCTAAGAACAATTGTTAACATTTAGCATTAAACTCAATTTAGTGACTTTTTGTATTACATTTTGTTATAATAATAACAAGCACAACCTCATAGAGCTGCTAGAATGGCTGTCAAACTCTTGAAAAGCATCCAGCTGAAACAAGATTAACCACACACAAGTTTTGATTATCCAACACGTCATTTTATTTGTGAATCGTCACAGACACAGTATAAATAGAACAATGACATCATTAAATAAATATCTACATACAGCGTCTTGTTTTCTATCCATCACCGTATACACTTTGTTAAATGTTTTAGTACGCATGGTCACCAACATGTGAATCTCAGTTACCCTGCACAAATGACAGTAATAAAAATCTGAACAGAACACTTGACTTACAGGGAATTCAAAACCAAGTCACAATTTGACCTTTTTTTCCTACTGTTTGGCGACATGCGGCAGAAAATCTATACCATGTTAAAGCATACTTGCATACATATTTGCACAGTGCAGAGATCTTGTCTATACAGCACAGCTGGTGGTTACTGTGGTTAAGCCTTGAGATATACAGCAGGTTTTAGGCCAACAAATTACTGAAGTGGTGACAGTACTAATATAGAACAATATAGTTCCAAGAGATAGGTCTTTACTTTTATAACACTTATCACTGAATGTCACTCAACAAATGTTTTTGTAATGTCTAATGTTCAGTTACAGTTAAATTGGGTCATTCTTATAAAGAACTTGATACATGACTTTAAAGATGTAACACATTTATATTGTTATTACTCAAATACAACTAATCCTTCACACTGTTCCACTGCTCCACTCCTCCAGGGCTGTTTTGAAGGTGTGTCTGTTGAGTGTTTGGATTGTTTTCTGTTGTAAGTTTGTATCAATATAACCTGGCCATGACTTGGACAGCAGGTTATGTTGTGCAGTGAAACCTGAAGCAAAAGTTGAACTTCATACGACAAACACTTAAACATTCTCTGTGTTTATATTGTACTTTTGAAATATTAAATATTTAATCAGTTAATATCAACCTTTGTGATTTGGAAAAATACATGACAGCTGGTGGTGAATGCAGAAATGGGAAATATTCAAATCTTTATCTGGTATAAGCACAAGTAGACACAGAGTAACCACTTTAAAACACTTAAATGACTAAAAGCTTCCAGGAATTAACAGCATGTGGAAAAAAAAAGAAATAAAGTCCTGACCACATGTCACATTAACCTTTAAGTCACCTTCTAAACCACTGGTTTGTCTATTCTATAAACACTGGTCACAAAAACAAGCCGATCTTTACCAGTGTCTACCATCATACATTTTTAGTCTTTGGCACCTTCTTCTACTCTGTCCTGTCCGCTTGCTGTTTAAGCGCCACCAGTTAACGCCTGTCTGTTCCCGGCACAGTCACAGTTTTTCTTCTCCTTCTTCTCCTGAGCTGCGGTGGTCTGTGTCTGACACATTTCCTGGATCAGTTTGGAGTTGAGGAAGCGCCTGTACGAGTCTTTCTCCATCAAGGTGTAGATCATCTTCTGAGCCTTGTCGAAACAAGACGGGCAGGCATTCTCCATGTTCTGCCTCGTTACTTCTCTGGTCGATGCATCTAAGTTTACCTTAAATTACAAAGAATGAGAAGGGGTTAAGATACTAAACGAAAATCAATTTGAACTTGAAAAAAATTGAACAAAATACAAAATCGAAACCTAATCAACTATTCTCTCAGTTTATTTTATTTCCAAATGGACTGTAATGTGCCAAACTGCCTTCATCCATGCAAACCATCCAACTAAATAGTAGTTTATGTTGATTTTGTTGTTGTCCTGTTTATTCATGCTAGTTCTTAAATTCCTC